TATGTCTATTTTAAAGGGAACATCAATGTTGTCAATATTATGGACTTTTTAATAGCAGTTATGCACTGTAATAATGAAATCGAAAAAAATTTGCAAAAACATTAATTGTAACACGAGTTATCATAACTTTAATGCAGAAAACCATACAAAAAATAATCCATTCCTATTGTGCCATATTGTTTTAAAACTGAGCGCCCCCTTGAGTTTACAACTGAGCATGGCGGTAGAATGATGACGTGTTAGTCAACAATGGTGCATGTAAATGGGATATTTACAACCACAGTAATCGCTCTATGCCATGCTGTGTTTCAAAATGCCAGGATGTTTGACCTCTAGGGGTCATGACAATAAACACTTCATTCTACTGTGATGCTCATTATTCACCTCTATACATGTACATTACAGGAAATGTTTGCAAAAGAAGAAAAGGCCAATTCTGGTATGGCATGGTCTCTCCGCTTTGTAGGTTGTTTGATATTTGCAGTAGCCATCGTTCTCATGAACAACGTAGTAACACTAATAAGTACGTATACAAGTATAATTTTTTATTAATTTAGATATTTCTTTGGCATTAATTGGATGGTCAACTAAAGACACTAGAGAATACAGGGACTGTCAGTTGCGACAAAGATCAATAATAGAATGACGTTCTAGTCTTGATCGGTTTTGACCACAGCATATTTTTCTTTATTATGTTAAACCTGTGTATCAAATATGTTCACAACAGACTATTTTTTTTTTTTTTTAAATAGACGAATCAAGATATTGTGTTACATAATCTGTTTTTCGTAGGCGTACATTACATGAACTTGTCTAAATAGAGGCAACTGAAACCTTATATCTTGATACATTTCAAGCGCACAATGAGGGCACTGTTACAGGCATGCATTGAATTCCTAATACTACTTTTCTTGCAGTTTCTTGGATTCCATTGGTACAAGAACTTGCAAAGTTAAACTCATGGTTTTTCGTGATTGGTATTTCCTACTCACTTACCGCTATCATTGCAGGACTGGCCTGGATCGCATATCGCCCTCTATTGACGTTAGGGCTCCTAATCTCTTCCCTGGTTCCACTTATCATTGCATTGCGAAAAAAAGGCCACAGAAAAAGATCCACAAATATTCTGTAATAGTAAAAAATCTCTTACATTATATCATATGACTGACATTATTAATAATGTAATAGAGAACGTGTTGTTGCATATTGTAAACTACTTTAATTATGCGAAATACAATTATCAAGAATGAAATTTTAACATTGGGAATTACAGTAGTTTTGTGAAATTTTGACCTTGCAAATATAGCAAGATCAACAAAATATTGTAATGTGAAATTTACTATTTTACTTTATTTCACAACGAGAATCAATGCTGAAATTGAATCAGGTATATAGGAAGCGAATCTCATGAAACAAACTATTTGTATTCATTGACAACAAATTTGCTAATTAGTTTTAATCGTCCTGATCAACCTCGCCAATGTGTTAAAGGAATTGGAGTAGTTTGACAGTCTTTCAATTTGTGAGATTTCTTTTGCCTGGAATACTCCCTCTATAGTTCAAAGTAATAAAAACAAAAGCATTCCTTAAATATGCCTTTGAGGTTACATTGCAGATGGTTTTCGGTAAGTTTCAATTCTCTGTAGTAATATAAATGTGTGTTAAAATGTAGTTGAAATAATAATGCATACTTTGTTAGGGGGTCATTAAAACTCCTTAGTTACCTGTCCATTTCAACAATTGTTCAAATCTCAAAATGGTTACATGTGTATAATATATAATTGTAAATACGTGATGGTAGTTTTCAAAAGAACGTAATAGAATCCGTCATCAAGTTGACACATAGTCCCACTGTATATACAATTTTTAGATTATTGAAACAAGTTTCCATGACAACATCATCGTCTGTCCATATATGTTTGTCTAAAAAAGTTGCTGTTACATTTTAGAAAAAAGTCTAAGCCTGACTCGTATGTCGTTGCATATAAATAAATAAAGTACATCCTGTCCTGTTTTGTCATGCAAATACAGTAAATCAAATATCTAGTGCACCGTCCATCACCAAGGCGATATGTAGTCAAATTTGATAGGAATCCTAACTTTGTACATATTATTGGTGCTAAACTTCAAATTGTCAGTTCACAAAATAGAGCTAATAATTACTGTATATATACGCGTTTATTATAAATTATGTTAATTGCCATTAAATTAACAACCTATCAGGAGTCACGACTCGTACACATGGTGGTGAGTCTCGACAATCAAATCTTACTTTAAAACATGACACAGATTTTTATCCTACAAATGTGGTTTTGTATTAAATACTTTCATCAGTTTATTTAATTTTTGTGCAATATTTTTTTTTTTTTTCGTACTACTGCCTTTATTTCCTAAACAAAGCTCAAGATTACAACTACAATGTCTTAGTTGCAGCCTTGTAGACTCAATTAGTTTGTTGATTATCAGCAATTTTGTATGAATTATTATAGTATGCTTCAATAATTGTAAAGTTGTATGTTTCTTGCGGTGGAAATAAATACCCAAGTATTGAAACAAAGTCATTGGTTTACAACAGTACTTTAATCTTTTTATACCTATCTGTTTATATATCCAAACCTACTCTATGATGTATTCCTTCCAGAAACCTGCTCCTTTAACTATTGTTAGTGTTTCGGATTACGCTATATAAATCCAAGAATTGTCAATGAATCTTCCATGTTTTAATTTGTACCGGTATATTAATGTCGTCACTTTCATTCATACTCGTTGACGTTATGGATATCAGCGTGGAACAGTCACATAGAAAAATATAATCTGCTGAGCTGGCATTTATCTTACATACCATATTTGCTCTAACAAACACTTGTGTGTATTATAAATTGGATCATTAAAAATATGTTGTATTTTGACCATAGACTTTAGTAAACCCGCCATTCATGCAAGTAAATATTCGGTAACAATGTTAACGTTATCTTCATCTAGTCCCAAGATTCTAAACGTTCTGGATCAGTGACAACAATTAATTCAGTGCATCTACTTCTGGATCAATACAGTTATGAGAGGAGGAATTCACAAGTTTTTGTTCTTATCGCCTGATGAAACTCCCCACAGATAGCCAAAATGATTGGCAGAAATAAAAAGCTATCAACAGGCATTCTGTTAAAGCATAATTTTGTATAATGACATATATTTACAATTTACTTGAGTGGTATTTTTTTTTAATTATTTTTATGACTTTTATGAATGACTTCCTGTGATCCTGATATTCTGGTGCTTGTTACATAATTATTTATTACAGACCCAGTATTGTTATTACCATATTTTACTCTACTTGAAACGCGCAGCACGGATACATGCCTACAATGTATGCAGGAAGACTATTGTATGCAATATGCGCTGCATGCAGGCTCCGAAAAATGTTTACTTTTTTGGTTTTTGCCAAGTTGGCCGATATAGATCACTGAACTGTGGTATGAAGTTTAGATTGTTCCAGAACAAATAAAATTATGTTGTATGTAGTGCTCTCATGTTCAAAGAAAAATATATGCTACTGTGCGTTTGTCTTATCAGCATTTAACTTTACACCTACCAAGTGACGACAAACCTACCAAGTGACGACCCTCACTATTTTTCATAATTTATATCAATAGTTGATCGAATTTAAATCAAGTTTGCGTAGGTGGATGTTCGTCAAGATAGTTAAATATGACCAACAATTCGTCTAATTCACATGTTTTATTGTAGTGCAGTATTAATGTTAATGATATATTAAAATAAAACATTGCTCTTGGACTTGTTCTGTATGTTGATTGTATTATTGCAGTCTGCCTGCAATTGATGAGTGACTGAATTATCTCTAGAGGGCGCACTGGTAAGTTACAAGGTAATTTTGTACATTTGCTCGATAATGGAATCTACCGGTATATACAAGTTGCATATCTGTGGCTTTCCATTTTTCAAGTTTCGCTTTTTTTTTTTTTCAAATTACCAAACTAGGCTAAGCGCATACTCAGCGTTAGTCTAGTTGTACAGTTGTTTATTTCATGGATCCTTTGTGCCTCTTAAAGGGCCAGTTGTGGTAAAAAATTAACATACAGTACTGCAAACACATTAATTATTATGGTTTTTAATTAATCTGCTAAATTAAATCCATGTAACACATCTATACTAATAATAGAACACATCGTTTCCTACCAAGTTCATGAATGCAGTGAAATCGCTCAGAGCATCAAAATGGTGAAATTAAATGCCAGTTAAAAAAAAAAGGTTTTACAGTAGCACAGTTTATTGGGTGGGAACGATTCTGAAAATTCAATAGACAATACAGCATTTTTTTTTTTATAAAAGATTTATTATCCACAAAAAGAATATTTACATTATTGTATATTTCAATTGTCACTCTTATTAGCTAGAACACTCACCTGACACCCCCACTGAAAATTGAATACACAATATTATTAATGATAACTGGAATAAACCATGCAACCAGGAGAGGGATTTTTGAACATTTACTAGTAATACTTTAGAAAATTATGTTAACTATCTTGTGGGAAAAAAACCCTTTATGGACGGCACAGTTGATATACTGGAAAAGGTTATTATTAAGGTTCTTTTTGGTTAATCTTGTGATAAAAAAACAATAATTTTTGGTTGAGCTTTTAAAGAATACAGATACAAAATTGTTAACTGTCATTGCTTTTTAAACATTGTTGCAAATTTCCATCATAACTTTTCATATTTACATACCGTAGTATGTATATTAGCGACCATGTTTTCAAATTCAAAAGACACTTGAATACTGTGCTATATGCAGGATGAGTCGAAACAAACAAATATTGTATACTGTAAAATGACAAATATTCACTGGGTTTAAATTTTGCTGATATACCATTTCAGGAATATTCAGTGGGTTTTAAATTCATGGTTTTATCATTTAGATAATGTGTTCTATGCTAAATTTTACATATTCACTGGGTTTTAATTTAGCGCATTTTTCAGTCAGCGAAATAAGCTAAATTAAAACCCAGTGAATAATTAACCCTTTTACAGTATGCTGATTGGGACTCACACAGTGTGAGGACTTGGGTTGCTTGTCTCTGGGAAGACAAAGTACTGGATTTCCAAATTCAACAGGAGATTTTGCATATAGCGACACAGGCTTTCATATTCAATATAGATATTGGACCCGGATGTGCTCAGTTTGAGGAAGTGAAATTCACAGCTTTTGTTTCAGGTGATCTTTTTTTTGTCATGCCATCAATCACAGTTGCATGCATATTTTACATTCTAACAAGTTACAACATAGTCACCAAAAATAATCATTGAGAGTGTGTCGTTGCTATGACACCAGTGAAGAGCAGATCAATTTTAAATTAGTAAAATAATCCAGAAAAACATGTACAGATACAATATATAGTAGCTTGATGAAAATTTGGGTATTTGTTCAAAATGGGGACGATTTGAATGAGTCTGCACGTTGCACATGCTTAAATCGAACAAATGGTCTAATGATTAAACGATTGGGTCATAAAAAAAAATTTTAGTCAAAATATATGGTCCACTCCAGCCATGTTACATCTATTACACATATCATGAGCTTCAATATATACTAAAATGCTGAGGTAACTTAAATTTTAGAATTTGTTGCTGGGTAACAATGAACCTCGTTTTTTTTTTTTTAAAGTCTAATGGAATGTGTTTGTATGTTTAATCTCAATGAGTGGTTTGCATGAAAAATAACTAAGTAAAATTTTTAAAATAACCACAACCACTACAGAAACATCTACAAGTAGGTTTTGTACTATGTACCCAGTAAGCAACAGTCAATACATAGATCAAAACATTGCAATAAAAGTTACATGACATATTATTAAAGCGTCCACATCCCGTCATATGGGTCTCGTAGGACGCATGCAACGCATAATAGATTCACACAAAATTTGAAATGTGACGATACATATAATGCTCAGAACAATAAATTATAATTCAACTTTAGTATTCAAATAAGTATCCTGGGAAGAGGATGAAAATTAATTTCATAAAACTTATCAATTTTAGTTTTTAGTACATACATGATCGGGTTCTACAAACAACTGGACCTGGATGAGACCACACATTCCTTGTAAGATTGGGTTTTAGACATAACTGTCTGGACGGATGCACTTGCAAAAGAAAATGCAATTTAAAGTATTGTTTTAAGTATCTAACCACCATTGGGAAACTCACTTACGGGTAGTATACAAGTCAAGATATTAGCTTTGATGTTAATCTTCAGTATGAAAATTGATGTCTCTCAAAAAAACAAAATTATTATACATTAATATCTACTGAAGTATACAACCAATGTCACTAACTTGGAGTTAAGAGAGTTGAACCCTGTAAAATTCACAGAAGGCACATTTAGATTATATCCTGGTGGACCAGGTGTAATTTAATTACATGTCACTTTATGTAAATACCGGTATATACAAACAGTTAACAAAACGTTCAATATAGACCAACCATGGTAGACTACAGGTCTATATTGCTTCAGTGTAATCAAGGGCAGATAATTATAAGGGTTTGAAACTTCCATCACTTGAAGTGAAGATCCCACTGATGTATATATATATATATATATCACAAATGAACAGTTCCTTGTTATTATGTGTCTGGATGCCTTCATGCTGTAACAATTGATTGAGGCCAGTAAGAAGGTTTTGTACTTGCTGTACTTGCGAGAACATTGACAACATGGCATATTATTTGATCAATATACAGCTGGAACAATCGAATCGCTAGCCAATGTGAAAATAATGTCTTGTATGAATGAAACTCACAAATTTCATTTAAAAAAATAAAAGCAGGCTTGTAATTTAATGACTAAAGTTTGTACAAATTGCAAGCACCTCAAATAGTAACTAAATCTAGCATGGTTAGGTCAACGTATGGCTCCAATTTATTGGGTTGTACCGAACCAGTTCACGTTCGTATTTATTTTGTAGAACTCTATTGAGGCGGTCCTGCTCTTCTTTCCACTCCATGAGCTGTCAAGATAAACAACAATATCGATCATTAGAATAATAATAATAATAATAATAGTTGGATAAAAATATTGATTTATGCAATTGACAATGATCAGGTAAACAGATTGAGGTAGCAAAAGGAGAAAAAACGAACAAAAATTTGTTTTTGTTAAATTTCAGAATATTAAACATTATATTGTATACTCTCTAAAGCATTGGTCAAAATTTACTGTGTGCGATGCTTTTGATGCGTAATTTCGGTTTATTTTCATGAACCCAGCTGTGGGTGAGCACGTCCTCCATACATTTACATACCAAGTTGAGCGACAGACTGAAAACAAAATAATTGTTTAATTTGCATACTGATTTGTTGACTGGATGGTCAACAAATTTACTATATACTTTGTAGCCTGACCGTTATGCAATCACAATCGAAGTACAAACATACATTCTTGGCTATAGTATTTAGATTTCAAGCTTTTCTCAGTGTCTTTTTTAAATAAAAGTTGCTGAAAACCTAGTAGACTCTCTCCACATATTACATAAAAAAAAAAAAACCACATGTAAATCTCTGTTCACCAGAGCCAACGCAACATTGAATTTGTTTATCGGGAGGCAAACATTTAGTGCTAACTTGGTTATAACATGGTTTGTATTTCCATGGTTATAACAAATCAGATAACGGTACACTCTCCATAGGCAGAGAGTAAGGCATGTATATCCTGTAAGTAAATGTATGTTGTCACGATGGCCCTCATGTGTTCAGAGAACTGATCATACTGCTGGAGCTAGCTGTTCAACATAACAAAAGGACTTGAATAAATTAGTTGTGTGATATTGTTGAAGTTAGCATCCACTTTCAGTTACTAAGTTTGCTCACTTTCTATAAAATAGTCCATCAATTGTTCACGTTATAAGAGTCCTCATAGATCAGATACCTGTATAAAGTCTGATCAAAATGTTATACAATTTGGTAATTAATTATCTGTTTATCCACAGCCAAATACAAAGAAACATTTAATGGGATTTTTACAAAAACTAATTTTTGACTATGGCAACTATTGAAAACTATTACGCTAACGATGCACAAATTATACCAACTATTCATCACAAAATAGGCTAAAAACTGACGTCTCATAGACATTCCAGCGAGACATTGACTTTGAGTTCTGGCCATAAGCTCATCGATATATTAATAAAATATAGTCCATAAAGTACAACGGACTATATCTCAAGAACAAGGCACATAAAAACCCAGTTTCAAAGATCATTATCTTATAAAGCAACACTAAAAAAATCAAACTGATGGAAAGATCAAGAAACAGCAATCCCATGTAAAAATTCGATTTTAGGAGGTTCACGGGGAATGTCCATAACTTAATCCCCTGAGCAAATATTAACATGAAACGATCGTATTCTCCTGAATCTCAGCTTTTTTAAAACATATACATTGCCTTAACTGCATGTTTAATAACGGGCGGGGAAAGTCTTAATAAGAATGAAACTATTAGTCCCCTTTCCCCTCACGCTACCTTGAGTTACATCAGCCTCTAGGATGTACTTCTCTGCAAACAATGACAAAACCGCCATTACTTTCTTTCATGAGTGACTGGTAGTATAACAATCAAATCGTTCGTATACAAATCGAACAGCCTGAATAATGTTACCTCTAATCAAATTTGGTTTTCACAATTTGATAAAATTTGATAAGTAATAGAAACAAATCAAAATTATTGAAAACAAGACTTCTGTAAACCATGAAATTTTCACTGCTTGAAATGTTCACAATTTTCTAATAAAAAAATAACTTTGCTCTCTCCTCTTCCTCAAATCAAACACCTAACATTTCTCTGTGCATTTAATGATCAATGAGTTAATAAAACATTTTTTTTCTGAGCTCCAAATAAAAAAGAAAAATCTAACCTTTTTATTTTCGTCTCTAAACTGTTTTAAATAGATGGCTTTCTTGACGACGTCTTCATGGTCATCTTCAAGACACTTCCTGTCATAATCCACAGCTACTTCGCTTTCATGAACTTTGTCTTTCAGTATCTGCTTTTGAAAACCCAGTTTATCTGTCATTTGTTCCTTCAGCTTTGAGCGTATATCACGCCTGATGAAAGAAACAAATAAATGAACAATTTAAATTTTAACTCCTTAATTTTTATTATAAATTAATCTCAGAGCAGTGTAAAAAGCGAGGATGAATTGTTGGGGAATCACTAACAAGTTCAACAATTACATAATGTTCATTCAGAAAGCATACTTAAAATGTGTCCTGGGAAGAGGATAAAACCACATCAGCTCCATTTTTAGTTTGTGCAAAATCCAATTTAATTAACAATTTTTCTTTGCAGAATACAAAATAATTGAAAAAAAAAATTCACAGACTTGATTTGATCAGTAATTCAGTGCAATTTGTCATAAATTAACAAGTGTAAGGAAAAAAAAAATGTTGACTTTTATACAAATTCAACCATTTGAACAAACTCTCGGTGTTCTTCTGTTGTAAAATTGAATTTCCTAAGTGCTGGCCCCCCATAATATACACTGTCAATACAGTGCATGTTTGAAGTTTCTATTTGTTCTTTGAGAAATTGATGAAATGGAATATCCGTCATGCCATGCCATGATTGATTAAACACTATACAGTCATCCCTCTCAGCGTGCAAGGAATGAAGTCAGACAGAATATACGGCCGTGAGTGAATGACAGAACTATGACGGGAAGTCGTGTACATGTACACTGCCATTAAATATCGTGTGAAGTATACAGGTTTGGAAAGGTATTACTGAAATGTGCACTTATCAACGAAGTAGCCGCCAGGTAAATTCAATAAGCGCACAAATTGGTGAAGGAGGAAGATCTTTGCTATTTTGCTCTCCTCATTGTAGTCTTTTCAGTTGAAACATCACGCATTGTATGCATAAAAAAAAAACATGCACGCAATAAAGGTTATGTTGACAGTTTCCATGGCAACACACTGGAATTAGCATTCATCACATTCTAATCAGGAATTGCCGCACACAATAATGGTACATGTTCAGAACACGGCCCTGGTATAGGTTTTTTCTAGCTGGGGCCTGAAGCTGCTTATTTTTTTATTTTATTGAAATCCCCTTGGGGTGCTTTTTTATTACAGGTGTTTTATGAGGAATGGAAGACAGGTAGATAGACAGGCACCTGAAATTTGAATTTGAAGAAATTTACTTTTGATCTGTTCAATTAAATTGAAGTAAATACATACTGCAAATATTCTGGGGACAGAGAATTTTTAAAAATTTTGAAATTTCTTCAGGTCGATGAAATTGTTGAACATACACATTTTTTTTTTAAATTGTTTTTATTATAATTGTACATTTATTTTTATTTCTCATGAAAATTTATTTTTCAAACATTTATTTTCGAAATTGACTGACATACAAATTTTGAAACTTGAAACATGAGCATCCACACAGGCATCATTGAATTAGAAAATTGTGTACATTTATAACAACGAATAGGAAGATATTAACTCCTATATTGACTATAATTTGTCGAATAATATGTACATGTAGTTGATAAGACTAAAAAACAAAAACAAAAAAAATTATTTCTTGTCAGCATGCATATCTGATCAAGAGGGGCTAGGCCGTTCACGATTTTTGTTTTTTCTGGTTTGTACCAAAATATTACAAAAAATGTAATAGAAAAAAACAAATATGCTCACTACATAATTTTTTTTCCTGCACAGTGGAATTGTTGAAAAACAGAAACCACAGAAAGTAGTCATGCAAATCTAGAAAAATTAAACTAAAAATCCTAATGTGAGTTGTGTATCATAGAGGATTTGAATGTTTCTGAGGTTTCCATGACTACTTTTTGTTTTTTAATATCAGAAACAAAGCTTTGTTTAAACCATAAATTGATCCAATTAAACATGATCTAGATCCAAGTCTTGAAAATCGACAGTACATGTACATAAGTGACATTCAACTTCCGAGATACAATTTTCATTCTTTTCCCAATCCAATCACCTGTCATACATGTTTTTATTAACAGTATTCATTTAACAACAAATAAAGCACATAATTTAAAAAAAAGCTGTCTCCTCTATTTTGTTTCTGTGTTGCTTAGCAACTGACATCCGTGACATGTATTTTCCAATTACAAAAATTACAAACGAGTCATTCATCAAAACTAAAAAAAAAATATGGCTACCTTGTTCTCAAGAAACATTGCAATGGGGACAGTTTATAAAACCAAAACAAAAAATCTTAAGACAAAAGAAACAGATAAAAACAATAGGGAGAAATACAACATATGTGCACACAAACAAAAATGTCTCGAACGGCAACGATTACACTTCATCTTGGTACAATAGGCATTGATTTTTTTTCCAACTAGTTACTTAAGAGTCATGAATAATTCATGAGACAGCTCTTAACAAAAGGCGGCACTATTTATTTCAAAACTTGTTATTCAGTTATGTTTATAAACATTTTGTGTTCAGCCAGTCGTATGTAATATAATTTGAGCCAATTAAACGAGTATTCATCTAAAATGCTGAATTAGGAATTAAAAACATATATTTTTTCTGTTTTGCTGCGTGAGTGAAAGCTTTTAAAATTGACTGAGACAAGTCATTATTAGGCATGCCAATAATTTTAACAATATTGTGTAACTAAATATTAACATCCATAAGACATGACAGGTTGAAAGCAGAACTGTCTAGATGTTTACACTGAACTAGAATCAATTACTTTAAAAACAGGACACTCGTAAAATCAAATAAGAAAGGGTTCAACAGATATTCTGAACCTCAGGTGTGAGGTAATAATAGTAGGTACGTTGTAAACAAAATGGTTACTGCAAACAGCAGCAATATTTTTATGAGTAGAAAATCAATTTTATATTCAATTTAATTATAGTGGTCAATTTTTATTAATGAAAATATTAAAAAAATTAAATATTAAAATTTTGAATTGACAGGGTAATTGAAAATTAGAAGAGAGAAGTAATATTTTAAATAAATTTAATATTTTGTTCATCATGTTTAATTAAAAAATACTATTTGCTTTGTGTAATATAATATATTTTATTAAAAAATAACAAATTTTTGGACAAATTCTCAAAATATGCCTGTATGTGTATATAACTATTAATTGTACTATCCCCACAGGGTTTATAGGAATTAGTTTGATTAGGGTTATATAAATTCTATCGTGTTGTCATGTTTGGTGCACAATTTTACATGGTTTAAATTCTGTGCAATTTACTATTTCCATTACAGTAACACTACTGTCTTGTACCTATGGGATTTTCATACATCTGCACAGGAGATCACACCAGTATGTATTGGTGATTGAAAGTATTACGGTAAACACCTTGTTTTGTACAATATTTCTTTTTCAAAATAAAATATATATATTTTTTGTTTGCCCCAAGGTGTCATGTTCGATATGAGACATATACAATATGTGTAAATTACATTGTACATTGTTTGTTTCTTCAAAATTTTATTTAAGCTGGTATATGAAAAAAAAAATGTTTTCCAAGAATTCTAGATTTGCAATCAAAGTTATTACAAAAGAGTTTATTTTAAGTAAGAATTTGGCAACTGGTAATGTATTACTGTATTGTTACACACAGGTACACAGATGCAGTGTAAACCGTCCAGTTAGGGTTCAACCATTTGAAAATTGGTGGGGGGGGGGGTCAATGGCAAGAACAATATTTATAAGTTTTTATAAGTAAATTGTTTTTGAAAATTTATCTGAAAAAAAAGTGCGCAGAATTTATTTAAAGATGTGCCATGACACCAACAATATTCCCTGGATGATAGAGAATGTGAGCACATACGTATATACATTATATTAACAGTAAGGCCAGACTTTTATTATCCCATGTTTCGCGAACCTGCCGAATGAGCAGGAGCTTTATTTCAGCGTAATTTCTCGCACCTGCTGACTGGTAAGAGCGAAAATTGCTAAACAATTATTTTTATCTTCATTTTTTTACCGCCCACCACGTATACCAAATCTAAGTTGCATTTTCGTGGGAGTATCATGATCAAAGCACCGAAGTCTCGCGCAGATGAGAAACAAGGTTACACATGGAATAAAATTTTATTCCATTTCTTTGAGAATCACACAAATCTAATGGAAAAATAGAATTAATTTTATTTTTTTCCCCGCCCTCCTCAAAAAAATTGCCTTATAAAAACTCGAGAAACAAGGAATAAAAAAAGTCTGGCCTAAGTTACCCTAAGACAGCACTGATTTGATATACCAAGTGAAGCTTTGTTAGATTTATTTGCCACTGAAAATCTCCACCACCAGTTCCCTCTTTTCATCAACAAATTTTTTGAGTAAAAATTGGAAATTGGGTTCAAAATTAGGGTTCATTTTCAGAAATATTGAAAAATATAATAAAAAAGTGCAGAAATATTTGGGCTAGAAAGTTTGCCTGCTTCAGGGGAGTAATTTTGTGGTGTAAATATTAAGTGAATTACCTTTAGTGATTGTATTAAGTTGTCAAAGACTTATAAGAATTATTTAACATCAGCAGAAAATAATGATAAAATAAATGCATAGCAAAACATAATAAATATTGTAGTAATAAAAGTAATTATCTACCAAAATTTATTTTATGACTTTATGAGGATTACTGTATAATACTTTATTTTTGATGGAATTAATTTTCACTGAAAATACGTTTTGGCTGTTTTGTGTGAAATTAATTTTTGCTGATTGTTGATCAGTCGAATGTAAAATGGCATTTTGGCTGGATTTTATTTTCACTTCAGCACAAACAGCAAAAAAAAAACTTTAAGAAATACTTTAGGAAATGTGGGAAAATGTTGGATACTCAGCTATGTATACATATATCTGCATTAACATCAAATGGTATTGTTATTTATGGGTGAATCAAAACAAAACATTATTGGAAATAAGGGGAAAAAATATTACTTTCCACATAGAGACAAAAATACTAGCTGTCACACAGAGTAAAAAAAAAAAATTATCCATGTTGGTAGGAAAGAAATTTGTGATTTATTAATTTCCTTTAGACTTCATTGCAATTTTTAAATGGTACATCCCTTACCATGCACTTACCCAGTACAAGATTTTTGAAATGTCAATGAAATGTTATATCCAAATTAAAAGAACTTTAGCAATTTTAATAACACTTGTTCAGAAAGCTACTAAATTTTATTTTCATTGTTCAATTCTTAACTTAAAATAAAATAAAAATAGATTCAATAGGGCAATCGTGGCCATTCAACATATTGAATTGCTGATAATATAATATTTAATTACAAGTTCCCACAGACAACGTTACTAAGAGGATCTAACCGGGGAGGAAATTGGATTCTCTTGGAGTCAAATAAAAAGAAAATTATGTTTCACTAAAAACAAGGTGTGGGCTAGTTTTAACGCAACCGATATGTTTGAAAAGATAGTTTAGAAAAACTCCAGAGAAAAACCTTGCAAGAGAAACAATACTGATCTATTATGGTACACCATGAAGTAGTGAACGAGCAAACAGAAGTGATCAATCTAAAGTTGGTTCCTTATGTATGCGCTATTTTTACGATGACAATGTTTACTATTGCCAAGCTCGAACAGTGTTAAAAACCATAACTCTTATTCACTTCGGGTTATTAAGTCTGTCCTTTCGACTACTTACAATGTCGAAATACACCCTTTTAATGTTGCATTCTGTTGTTCCATTCACACAAATGCTGTACAGAAAAAAAATACTTGATCAAATCGTCTACTGCTACGGGCCCTTCCATATTTGTGATTGTCCTAGCATTGCTTGGCAACTGGTGTCCCAATGACAAAAGGCTATTGTCGATCATAGCGGGGCATGCGAATCAGTGTGCGTGAAGTGGACAAAACTCTTACAATTAATAACAAAGATCAATGCCTGTCTCTGGGGAGAGGGACGTTATTCAGGGGACGTTTCCTCCCAAGTTCTACAACATATCCACCCATATGATACTAAGGATTGTAATGGAGATAAACGCATCACTGTCATTTCCTTTTTTCTAAAAGATTTATTTATTGAGGTCGTTCTGGGCACACAGTTACAATAGATTCTTTGTTTACTGGTGGGTACCATATATTTACAAACCACCTGCCATTCCCGGTGTTAAATACGTATGATTAAAGGCAATTGTTTTCCTATTAGAGTCTTCCAAACTGGTGTTGAATCTATGTCTTAAAATATGCATCGTCTTACACAAGAAAATAAATAAATAAACAAATAGAAATTTTATCGAAGGTAAAAATTCAGCAGGAAGGCATTTTTATTCTACACTACAAACTTAAGGGAGAAAAAAGTTGACTCATATTTTATGTAAATATGATTTCAATAACTGTGGAGGTATTTTGGAAAGTAATTACTGTAGAATAATGTATTTTAGCTGGAATTAATTTTCGCTGAAAAGACGTTTTGGGTGTTTTGTATGGAATTTATTTTCACTGATTTTTGATGAGTTGAATGTAAATTATAGGAAAAAAGGTATATTTTCACTGGATTTTATTTTCACTGAATTATTCATTCACTGAAAATAGTGAAAATTTTTCCAAGCGAAAATAAAGTATTTTACAGTAGTTGTTAAGCATGAATAGATAAGAGACTAATTACCACTACCTAATAATTTTCTAATTAATGGAATTGAGAAGTATACTTATTTAAAGTGAACCAGCATTAGTGGAATACTAGTTCTAAAGCTACCGGTATATAAGGCAAAAATTTCAATGTTTGTTTTTGGTTCTCCAAACTATGTCACACAGTGGCACACTGTGACCCATCAACACTAATCTGACCAGTGTCACCTTATCGGATTTGTAATAAATAAAAAAAATGGAGGCTGTGTTTAGACTGTTTATACATGTTGAATGAAGCATAGCTAAATTACTCAAGGTTTCACCTCCACTGCATGGATACTCACACCAGTCTGAGCAACAAAACGTTAGGGGTTTTAACCTTGTCAGGTTTCAGGTGAGTTCTGTCACTAAGGTGTGCACATGGATTTAGAACATGGAGACACAGTGTGAATACAAGAAGACAAAGGTCAAACTCAGAATACATGTACCCGGGGTAGATTATGCTGTTCCCGCATAAATAATGTATACAATTCGCAAGATTATGGAACAAAGAACAGAAGATTTGCACAGTTATATTATAGCCACTGTTAATTAGGCCGTCGTCACAAA